GCGACTCCTCCCCCAACACCAATCAATCAATCAATCAATCAATCAATCAATCAAACCCCTTTTTTTTCTTTTTTTTTCAATTTTGCATCTGCATTTTTTCAAAACACCTCATACTTCTGCAAAAAACATAAATTCATTTCTAAAAAAATACAGGTAAACTTACGGACCATATATCTCATGATAAAAAATGACCAAAAAAAATTCCTGCTTTTCTTTATATATATATTTTTAATTTTCTTTAAATCCAATTTCGTTTTTGATTTGTTAAAAATCCTAAACAAAGTCGGATTCAAAAAACAAAAAATGGGGTTGTAGGGCTTAAAATTCCCTACAAACCCATTTTTTTTTTTTTTTTTTTTCCTATTATTTAATTCAGGAAAATTCGTGTAAAATCGTGTCCGCGGTGCGGACGAGGTAGACCGCGGATGAGGACCCATTTGGGTCCGCGATCCCTGCTCGACCCCGCGGACGCGTCCGCGGGTGTTTCGTAGCTCCACGTGCGTTCCAAACGCTCCAATTGCACAACAGGTACGTACTTTTCCGAGTCTTCCCCCTTTGCCCCTTCTTTTTCGGCACACTTTCCCCTCAATCCCAATCCAACTCCCCTCCTTCCTCGCCTTACTTCCCTACTTGCCAGCAATACTCAAGCCAGCCTTCTTCTTCTCGCCGGCCTAAATCATGCCAGCATGCTCCAGTGAGAGTAACAAGTGTTGCTCCGATACCAAAATTGCAAGGAACCTGTCCTTTTGTCACTTGCTGGAGTGTATCAAATAACATGCATGTAACACAGATCTCACAGATTTGCAATGTCTCACACAAAGTTCAGTGGAGGATGAGTGGAAACCAGGAAGCGCAACTAAATTATCACAACCAGATTAAGGAAAGAGAATCACAAATTCAAAATGTAAAGCGCCCAACAGTAATACAAGTCTTCTTTATCCAACAAGAGTTCCAGGCCAGGCGCTCATCAGTGCCAGCAGCCATTCACCACGAACAACGCGCAGCAGGTAAGTCCCACCATAACTCACTTTCTCCCTTCTCTTCTTTTGTTCTCTCTCTCTCCCGATGTCTATTGTCCTGGTCTACTTACACTCACTATGCACGCACACTCCCTATAACACGAGGATCTACTCTGAATACTGATCACGGGTCCTTTCTACTAACTATTCCTACCACTAATACTAATTGGCGCTGGCGCAGCTATGGCTGCTCTTCTTCTAGCCTGCGCTCAACTCTCTCTCGCCCATCTAAGTGTAAGATTAGTGAAACATTGATGATGTATCTTGAATACATCATTTCCGTTGCTCATGTTATGCTAAGGCACTTGCCCATGTACAAGTATCTCAACGTCATTCCCTCCCCGTTTTTTACACCGCCTCGGCCATCGTTTCTTACTTTCCTGTAAGGGCGACCATTTTTTACACCCCTGTCCACCTCGGTCACCGTTGTTTACACCCCTGTCGATGTCGTATTTGACTTGGTTGTCGTGTGCAGTGCAAATTACAACAACGGATACAAGAAAGTGCAAAAGAGGGTGGACAATGCGCCTCGCAACATCGTCTTTATCAAAGAAGGAGATGAAAGCACTCTCACATGTATGTCGGGAGTACGGGAAAAGGTTCCCAATAGCGAGCACACACAATCACGGGACGAACGAAGTCTTGAAGCTAACTCAAGACGAATTTATTTTACTAGTCGACGAGCGGAACTGGTTAAATGACAACGTCGTCAACTTCTACATGAACCTCATCGCACTAGACAACTGGTGTAGAATCACACACGTAGAATGCGACGCTGAGAACGAAACCGTGATTAGAATCGGAAAGGGTCGCATTCCTAGAATATCAGTGTTGAGCTCGTTTTTCTTCGCCAGACTTTTCGACAGCAAAATGAGATATCGAGAGCGAGATGTGCAACATTGGTCGAATGACATCATAATAAGTAACATGGACTTGATAATTGCCCCTTTCCATATCGCACACACGAACCACTGGACCCTCGTTGTGGTTGACTTCAGGAGGAGGAAATTCGAATTTTACGACTCCCTCAGCCCTAACAAAGAACTGGCAGCCAAAGTGACCGGCGGATTTGCAAAGTTTTGGTTTGAAAGATCGATTCAGCAAGGCAAAGAGGTGGACACGAAACCGTTTAATCACATATGGATCGTAGAAGACGTCCCGAAACAACGTGACACTAGCTCGTACGGGGTCTCCATGCTCGCATACGCATCGCTATTGGCAAGGGGTCACCTTCCGCCTTTCTCTTTCACCGTTGATGACATACCCGCAATACGTCGTCGAATGGCTTTGGACACAGTGGCTCGTGAGTAGTATGTACCTGCTGGTGGATATTGTGATTACATGCGGATGGATGTGGGTAACATTAAATTGTTTGTCACGGAAACAGTGTATAGAAGATGACAAACATTGCTCCAGGTCCCTGCCCCTTAACCCTTGTCTTTTACCCCTTATCCCTTACCCCCAAACCCCTTACCCCTTACCCCTTACCCTTGCATGTATACCCATACCCCAAGTTCAAATGCATTTTTGACCCTAAATCACCACGAAAATGACAATTTAAATTCCGTTCAAAAAATGTAAAATGTCCGTTTTGACGAAATCGTTGTTCACCGCCGAAGTTGAGTTTTCCCAACGCTGAGCTTTCTATCACATGTGGCATGGTGGGATGGAGCTCTGCCGTTGATGTATTAAGAATCTAAGGGTATCGAAATACAGGACAATAACCTATTAGATTTGGTCGTTTTGTATATTTTTTCTTTGATGTGAAATCCATTTTGTCGTATGCTTTGGCCCTTTCCGTTTGGGCAGGAAACCGTTTTAAGTTTACAAAACTACCCTTTCCCCTCCCCCCCCCCGGGTTGATTTCTCAACTTATGGGCCCCGCTGCACTACTCCCGGCATGCAAAAAAAACAAAAATCATGGTCGTGTATCTTTCCATATTCTGGCGGAAGATTCACTCGTTTTGCACATTTCGAGAGTAGTGCAGCGAGGCCTTGTATGTGCCTTTCTTTTTAAATTTTTGTTTTTTTAGACATCATTACACCCTAAGACGGAGGAACTCTGACAACTGTGTTTAAAAGGACCTTTTCACAAGTAGCATTCCAAAGGACAAGTTCCCTGAAGCAAATATCGCATCGAGAGTGAAAAGAAAAGTCGTTTTGAAAAGTCACAGTCAGGTCCTAGACAAACAGGTACTGGGCTCAATTTTAAGGCTGAGACAGGGTCACGTCTGTTCGGCAATAAGTTAAAGGTCACAGTCCCAGACGAGTCACAGTCCCAAGGGTCAAATCTGATTCAGACCAGGAGTCCAAAACATAGGTCGTCGGGCCGTCGGCCAAAGCAGCAGCAGACCGTGGAAAAGGATACTGGGACACACACTTTGCAACAAGAGGTACCGGGTTAGAGTCCTAGGCACTTGGAGGCTGGATGCAGACCACGCCAGACCTGTCCAGCACTATAAAGGACTAGTCAGCCTCCCATTTGGCAGATACTCATTCGCATGAGAGTGTGGAAGTGCTGAGGCACTTGTGCGCCATATGTGATTGAGCTGCACCAGGCTTGAGAGTTGCGCTGATGTTCGCGACCAATCAATCCAGACTCCTTCGGCAGCCCCCTTTCATCACCGTACCCCAACGACATACATGCATATACACAACGCCGCATATCGACGAATATAGAGAGACACACACGCATACTACGACACACTCTTGTTCACCACACAATTTTCTTGTCAACAATGAAAAGGCCAAATCCCGAAAATTGAGAACTAATGAGTCTTCAGGTCGATTGTATACAGGAACAAATTCCGCCCACAAACCTAGATTTCAAACAAATGAGCACACACACGAAAACATTAAATTTCCCCGCGAAGAGGATTCCCCTCAAGTTTATTCCCTGTCTCACCCCTCATTTTTTACACGTGTGGGATCGCTCACGCCCTTTCCGCCTTCTACCCCATCCTCATCGTCCGTCGTCATGTCCTCAATATTGCGAGAACGTGGAGACCCTCCTGCATTCCCCCCATTCCCGTCATCCCCTGTGACCCCTCCCTATGGTGTTGTTGTACAATGTGCGTCACCTTTGCTAGTGCATGTGGGCGGATGCAATGACATCCCCGTGACGCCCATCCCAACAGTGGACTTTGACTCCATCTCCGATGTGCCTGCCAGCGCCGCACGTGTCGCGAGGAGACTTCCATATGTGACGCCCGCATCCGCCGGCTTGTCGAGCGACACTTGTTCACCTTGTGATGTATCCCCCGTTACGACATAGATGACTCTGATGGTGTTTTTACCTGCGTGCGTGTTCCCCGCCTCTGGCAACAGAGGCTTCACGCCCAACGTCCTCCCACCATCTTCCCTTTGTTCACCCATCGTGTTCCCTGTGGCCGCCTCGGGCACAGGGGCGACATCTTCTCGGGAGTCCACGTCCATGCTCTCGAGCGCGGCGGCGCGCTCGACCTTCCAATCAATCTTGCCGTACGAGGGACTCGACTGCAGCTCGTAAAGCTTGTGTGAGTACTTTAACTGTCGAGTGGCTCCTAAGACGTCGAACAATTATTTCGCCTTTGCCACGATGGATGTTTCACTCTCCCCGGGGTTCTCTTTCCGACAGCGGTATAGTATTGATTGCTCCGTCGTCTTCAACCAACTGTCCTTTCCTATGCGGGAAAACGGTCCCCAACCCTTCGAGACATACTTCACAGCCTTTTTCCACTCCCCGCCTTGGATGCATGACTCGAAAATGCCGTCATGCCAAATGATATCATGGCCCCACTTGTCCTCACTAGTGCAGGTGTATTTGTCATCCAAGAAATACACAGTGTTTGGGTCCGCACAAAAGCTGGGAGGAATCGGATCGCCCGGCGCCAACTTCGTTGGCTGAGCAAGAATATCAAGATCATCGTCTTCGTCCTCTTCCACAGGCGTACACAAAACCCGGTCCACCCACGAGGCTACACTGTTCGCGGGTGGCATGTTCGAGCATCCCTCTGATTGACCCGGTCTATATCCCTTGATGCTGTGCTCCATGGCAGCGGACTGTCCACACCACCCGGTCGCATTGGTGTCGTTTTCGATCTCGAGGTCGGAGCCAGACGAGTCTTCCTCGCTGTCGATGGGGTTAAAGCCTTCACCCGACTTAGTGAGGTCTGCATAGTCCTTAAACGTCAGTTGATCTTTGTGAAGATCAAACCTCAAGATCTCGCATCGAGCAACGAATGTCTCGAAGGCGCCAGTTAGAGCACCGTGATAATGTTTGAGGGCCTCGGTCACCTTGGCTTTCCTATATATGTATCCTCCATCAAGGCGTCCATCCGGCGCATCGCGGAACAGGTATTCCCACCCCTTCAGTCTCTTCGATCCCAACTTGTGGTACATATCCCTGTTGGTGCGATATGTGGCACGCGGCTTCTCGAGACGACACTCGAATTTCCCATCCTTGACAAGTATGTCGATGAACTTTGTCAAGTATGCAATGTCCTTGGCCGACTCGTCACAGGCAATGACATTATTACCTGCAAGCAAGAACTTCCATACAAGACCCGCGTGAGCCCTACCTAGCAAAAACACACCTTCCGCCTCTCCAACAAATGAACTGCACAACTTCCGCAACTTGTCGGGTTCTCGTTCCCAAATTGAATATGCGGCACCTTCGTCACCTTCGACGCCACCGTGTTTTCCGAGACACTTCCCAAACTTTTCCTCCACAACATGCACTTCGGTGAGGTCGTTGAGAAGTCGGGGTGCGACATTTACTTTTTTCAGATCCCCTCCTTCAGCGTGCAGGACGATGGTCATTAGGTCCCGACTGATGGTAGCGATGTTGCCGTACCTTGTAATGTCCCTCGACGGCCTGTCCACGCGTTTCCAAGACCCGGGGATGAGCTCGATGTCCTCCCAACGGTACAATTGACGCAAGACATAACTTTGCACATTCTGCGGTGCAAAGAAGAAGAGGACCCAATTTGGACCACAACACTTCGCCATCATTGCGTACAGTGCATTGAAGTCCTGCGAGGTCCATGCACTGCTGAAATTTGCGGCCGAGATGTCCACGATGGCGGCCTTGCATGCCATTTTTTGTGCGGCGGCGAAGATGTCGACGGGCGCCGCCATAACCTCCTTTGACTGCATGCATACAGAAAGCAATGTGGTCTGCCTGCCGAGTTTGTCCCATACAAGATGGCGTGCACTTGAGGCGATCCGTTTCACCTCCGCTCGAAGCATATCGAGCGTATCGATAACGGTGTATATAAAGACCTTGAAGTGAAACGGAGCCTCCTTGTACATCACTTCTGTAGGCCCCAAGCCCGCACCTTGCCTTGCCTCCTCCACTCCTTCAAGTCGCCAAGGGATCGTCTTCACTAAGTTGCTATGCAGCTTCTCCCGTTACTTCTCCCATTCATCTGCGCATAACCCGTTTGAAGCATACCTCTCTTCCAAGTCCTTGTACGCGTGTTTCATTCGTCCTCTGCCCTTACCTCGACACGAAACACGACGTAGTTGAACATGCGGACCATGTATCTCTCCTTGCGCATAATGTCGAGGAGGCACTCTGTGTTCACCCTCGGAGGCGCGACTCTCACTTTTGTTGCCACCACTTTTCCCGACAGGAGCAAGAGTAGCGCGACTTCTCTTTCGCGGCATGTCATGTCCCCGAAGTTCTTGAAGTACGTAGGACACAAATCCTTCCAGGACACGGTGGAGCCCTTGGGACCATCTTTCACATATATGCAGTGGTACAAAGTCCGTTGTCCCTTGCTCTCGTCAGTGTACGGGCCGGGCAGGCGCCCCTCCATCCTCCCCGACATCTCAAGTGGAATCTTGTCGTCGTTGATTGGCAATTTACCCTCCTCGAACATCGCGAAAAACTTCTCCACCAGCGGCCAAACCGTGCGGGTGGACGTGGCGAGGTTCAGGTACCCCCGGAGTTTGTTACTCCAATCCTTGCTGTATTCGTTGTCGAGTGTCTGTTTCACGAATGCCTTGTCGCACGCCTAAAGAAAGTTCTGCCACTTTTTCTGATGCGTAACGACGACGACATCCTTCTCGCTGACCTTAGCTTTGGGTGCCTCGATCCTCTTGTTGTCGATCCACGATTGCCTCATATCACGCACAGCGTCCTGGAAGGATAACATCATGGCGCGATTCTCCCGTGTGTTGTCGAAGACGGAGACATTGAAGTACCCGCGTGTGTGGACATCTTCGAAAAAGACGACTCGCACTTTAGACTACGCGCGGAGGCCGTAGACTTTGACCGCGGGGGAGTCCTTTGCAACCAACCGTTTCATGGCCTCGGCAGTATGCTGACCGCAGACAGCGTACCAGTCGAACTCTGCAGAGTCTCTCTGGAGGAACTCGTCTGGCGTGATTCGCCTTCCCTGCCCACTGACGATGACGTTGGGGTCAACCGGTGCAAGAACGAGCTCAGGTCTATCCCACACACCCGGGTCAGCACTGATGGAGCTTTCTATGGCACTCTCAATGCCTCTCACAATGTTCTCAGACAACGAACGGTGGTTAAAAAGGATCCTCCCACGGGGAATGGGTTTGATCCTTGTAACGTCGACGTTAACAACATGGACATCTTGCCTGGCAAAGCCCTGTTCGTCGTATTCGAGGAAGAAACATCGTCTCGTGTCGAGGGGCGCGGCGTGCTGAATCAGCTCTTCAATGTCTTCGGGCATGCGAGGCCCCACCCCCTCGCCCTCATCCCCCGAGTCCCGCAGCTCAGGTGCCCTGGACCTCTGCGAGCCTTTCCTACCGCCGCCGCGACCGCCGCCACGACTGCCACTTCGCCACCCCCCACCAGTTTTCAGAGGAGTCCGCGCTTTCTGGGATCCCGTCAACGCTCCGCGAGCTTCATTGACGGTGTCGGCCCTCGCCTGTTTTGTTCGTCTAGCAGGAGAGGTCGATGCTTCTCCCCTCTTTCTCTTTCCCCGTGAGCCAGGTTCATCTCTCTCATCCTTCGTCTAGTTATAGGACTGCGACATTCCGCGGGAGGCCGCAGGCTGACCACCAACATCGACCTCGTCACCGACGCGGCAGGCGTCATCCTCACGGCGTCCCCACGATTCGCTCTGGTGGCGACGCTGAAATTGGGAGGAGCGATTGTCTTCGACTTCCTCACCAACATCGTCTCTCTCCTCGTCCATGTCATCGTCCTCACCTTCAGCATCTCCTTCATTACCGTCGTCCCCCTCACCACCGCCCTCCCCCTCCTCACCACCGCCCTCCCCATCCCAATCACCGCCCTCCACATTTTGGCCCTCGCATTCCTCGTCATTGAAGGCACCTGCACCTCCCCGGGAACGATGCTGGGGACCAGCCCGATAGCGCACAACTCCGTCGTCGTAGTCTGTGGCCTCGCTGGACTGCTCGGCCGCATCGTGACCTTGCCGATCCGAGGGCGGAACCGGAGCGGGCAGAGTCTAGACAACCGCAACCGACGAAGACGGGGCAGTAGCCAATTGCTTCCTCTTTCCACCGGCGTATGGGTCTCCAGATCCTTCACTTCGGGTGAATTCGCCACCGCCAACTCGCACTGACGATCGTTATGTCCCCATGGACATGCTTCCGTCACCATCGCGCGAACGCAGTGAAGGGGGGGTGGGTCATGTTGCTCGTTCGTCGGACGTCGACTTGCCTCTCGGAGAGGACACGGCGATATCTGCCTTGTCTATGTTGTACGATGGAAAAGGAAAGAGAAAATACACATACAGAATCAGAAAAATAAGTGTTTCGGCATCCACCTCCGCTCTCGAACGTAGATGTAGCGTCGACGAGTGCGAGACTGTCCTCTGCAAAACATGTTGCAAGACGTTTCAATGTCTTTCTAAACGTAGAGTGCAGGACATTATGAAATGTAGACGTGACTACCGTGTTCTCAGAGGGGAGGAAAGACGGAAGTGGTGGATGACAAAACTACACAACTTTATTTCGTTAGTTGAGCGTAAACCCACATTCAAACCCATAGTGCAGTTGCACCCTGTGTGCGTCACTGCATGGTGTCTCATACTGGGCGTCGGCAGAAATACATACAAAAGATACATCGATGACCTCGATGACGGAACCGTCAACGCTGCTCACGGCCATGACGGTTGTCCGCGGACAACGACCACCTACGCCATTACATGGTCGGCGTTCGAGGACATCATCTTGGACGAGTTTGATCTGATGCCAGATCAGACTGAGATCGGTCCGAACTTCGAGATTAGAAACCGCATTCGGCTCCCGTCGGTGTACGCCACAAAAAAAGACGTCTTCCTCAGTATTCGTAGACGCCTCTCTAAGCTTGGTGTCTGCTGCGCATCGTACCAGGTCTTCTGCAAGATGTGGAGGGACTTCTTCTGGCACGTTCGTCTGGCAAGGGTGCCCGACCACGCGAGATGCAACGAGTGCATTAAGAATAGCATCCTCATAGAGGGTGCTTTGCCCGAGCCGAGAAGGGCGCTTCTCGCAAAACAAAAAAATCATATTGCGCTACAGTCTGCACACCGAAAACAGTACAGTGTGTGGTCCAATGATTCGGAGCTCGGGCCGAAAGAGAGTCTGTGTATCATTATCGATGGAATGGATCAGGCGAAAACAACGATACCCCACGCATCGAGAAGACGTTTGTCAAAAGAAATGTCGAATAACACGATGATGAAAATTAATCTCACTGGGATAATCGCGCATGGTAGGACGTCATCGCTCATTGTCCACACGTGGTTTCCGTACCTTTCGCATGGCTCGAACGCGGTGGTCACCTCGATCGCCAAAGTGTTGAGAGATATCCAGGCACGCGAGGGGGCGCTACCGCCGAAGTTGCGGGTGCAGGCTGACAAACTGTGGGGGACTAAACAAAATAAGTATGTGTTTGCGTTCTTGGCCATAGTTGTCAAATTTCGTATATTCGAGGTCGTCGAAATGGGGTTCATGATAGTGGGTCACACACACACGGACATAGATGCGAAGTTCAGCTTGTTTGCAAAAAAACTGAGTGGTTGCGATGCGTATACCATGGACGAGCTCTTCGATGTCCTCAAAGCGTCGTTGGAAGAGGAAGTCGATTGCACACTGCTCACTGAAATTGCTGGCTGAAAAACCGCCATAGATCCATACATCGATCACAAAATCAAGGGTTACGCCACGCCGCACCTCTTCCGATTTTACATGGATGAGGACAACCCCGCCATGATGTACAAGGAGTTCTACACTGACAAAAAGTGGGAGTCGGACACTGACCCTCTGTATTGGTTTGTAAGGGACGCACGCAACAGGTGAGCAGGGCCTCAATGGGGTTTCCAGCCTTGCCGCGAGTCACCTAACCCGCTGGCAAGCGATTTCGTTAGCGGAATGACGAGGGTGCGTGTCCTTCATAAATTGTGGGAGAATTTGCAAAACCAATGGGAGACACAAGACGAACACACGAGAGCGATGAAGCGTAGACGCTTGAGCTACTAGACCGACCATCTCAAAAAGTTCAAAAACATCTCGCAAGAGGAGAGCGGCACGGTGCCCCTTGAAGATGCCTTTTGCCCTGCCCCCATGCCCGAAAAACAAGACCTCTCATCCGTCGCGCCGCATGTTATCGACTCGCCAGTGAGGAAACCTTGCTTCGTCGGTTACAAAAGAGACGCTCCGAAAACGGAGTTCAAACCGCACGAGTCTGTCGGGATCATCAACGTCGTCGTGTTCCGCGCACCCGACGACTATGTCGCCAAGGGGTGCACATTCTGGATTGGACGCGTTCTGGAGCGGGACAATAACCGCATCCGCGTCAAGTATTGGACTCCTTGCGGAAGGGAGCGAGATTTGGCAAAGCGGTATACGGATGCATGGGCAAAGTCATGGAAAGTCGAAACTGAAACAAACGACGGGTGGCAAGACCTCGATACCATTGTGTGGGCATCGTCCAACAATAAACGTTCTGAAACGGGTATGCGGATCCCGAAACGAGAAGCTCTCAATGCACAGCTGTCGCTGGCCGCCCCTGACAAGATGCCTGCATCAACGCAAGATATGAGATCTGCTTCAGACACATCTGTGTAGTCGTGACGTGTGGCAGGCGTAATGGAGATCATCTTTTCAATATGAATAGATTAGAGCACATCGATAATTGTTCCATTGGATTGCGTTTTTCTCATTCATTCATTGTGTTTAGAATGTTTGCATCGTCGGACCGGAAGCACAACGAGAAATGGGGGACACTTGTGCGCCGGCACGAACTCATCTCATGGAAAACAAGAACGCAAATGAGAAGTGTCGGTGTAGAGTGCATCGACTGGTGCGCATCTTGGCCCTCAATTGAGCTGTGGTATGACAAGATGCGAGACAGAGTTTACAAACTCGCCAAAACGATAGCGCCGGATGCGAACTTCGAAAGCCACGACTCTGGCAAATGGACCAAAGTGTTCTACGGATTGGGGTTTGTTCAAATGTGGGGCAGAGGGGGTGAGCATCATGGATTGGTAACGTGCGTGACGTTCTGTTCAGGCGGTGGCCTGACACGGTGCGCAACACGGATCGAACGAACGAAGGTGCCGTCGACGTATGAAAACAACAACTATAGGAGGGCGACGTTGAAGCTTGTCATACGTCTATTCAACGAAATCAAAGATGCAATGTTACATGTCATCAACGAAAGGTCGAGGATCGTCATTCACGTGGCGACGACGGTGATAACATGCCGCAACGAAGAGGGTAAAACGAAAAAACTTAAAAAAACTAACATCGTCGCGAAGTTCAATATCGTCGATCATATTCATCGACGCGAAAGTGGCAAACGGAACAACCTGTAATCCGTCTTGCGTACTTATCCGCATTGACCGACATTCATCTGTGCTTTTGATGTCTGTGTTTCTTTTTTTTTTTTCCTTTATCTTTTTCTTATTGGTCCGTGCAGTATGAACCCGGAATGGATGCAGAGGCAGTTAAGACAAGATTGGTGGGGAACGCCAATCAAATGGGGGAAACTGATATTAGACCGGCTGAGGAGACAACGTAACGCTGTCGGACTTGTCACGTGGGATTTTGCATATTACGAACCGTCATTGCACTTGTATCCTCTAAGCGCGAGAAGAAAGATTTACAACCTCGTGGAAGTGTGCGACCGTCAGAATAATAATAATTACAAGAAGGACGGGAACGCAAGATACAAGGAGGTCTTCTACGGTTACGGTCTTGTGGCTGCCCAGGTGACTGAGAAATGCAGCGCCACCATTGCATGTGTTGTTGTACAATATCACGAAGGGCTTACAATATGTGTAACGAAGACAGGAAGACAAAAGATCCCGCGGAGTGATGCAGGAGACTCGATGGTGCGAGCGTACAAGCAGCACATTAAACAATATTGTATTCACGCACGGGATGCAATGTTGAAATTTGTTGCTCGGAGGACTGTCATCACTACTTCTATCTCAACAGTCATCGTAGAGAACGAAGAAACAACAGGGGTCAACCGCAAATTAAAAAAAATCAAGTTAACCACCAACT